CTATCTTAGGTTAACATTGTTTTTTAATATAACTTAATAATATTAATAGAATATATAATATTAATTTACTTAAAAAAATAAAACAAATTAAAAAAATATATATTTAATTGTAAATAACATTGATATAACTTATTCATCATCAAATACAAAATATTAAAAGTAGAATTTAAGATTCTGTCTCAACCATAAACTTATATAATAATAAATAATATTTGAAGTACCAGCTATAATTGTCATTAATAACAGTTAATTAAGGTTTACGTTTTATGGTTTATTTATGAGTTTGGTTCATAAAAATGTGACTTTGGACTTCAAATAAGCCATATTCAACAAGAAAGGCCCACGTTGTATGGGCTCAGTAGGGCAAAACGGGCTAAAACAGATGTAAGACGGATGGACCCATTTTGCCACCTAGTTCAAAATTTCCAATCCAACAATCTAATCATTGTATCTAATAATGAATAATTAACGTCCATACTTTGTATATGAAATAAAATATTTTTTTATTTCGATATTATTTGTTATATTCTGATTAAAGATTATTAACGTTTTAGAGTGATAATTTATTATTTATTAAATATAATGAGATAATGGTAAGTTTAATTATTATTTAAGAGAAATCCATCCCTCAATATGATAATAATAATAAAATTAAAACAGTAATACGAAAAAGATAATTTGTTCTATAGTTTGATAATTATATCATAGAATTATCTCAAAAAATTTAGAGTGAAATATTCTTTTAAATATTTTTTGAAAATAAAACATGTATTACTTCTGATATTTAGACCTTAAGAAGTATCATTACATGTCTGTTTTAATTAATATATTACTAATTTATTATTGAATGTATATTTTTATTGATAAACGTGTTGTTTGATATTTGTTAAATAACTAAATTTTAATATCTGAGTGTTGAATTAAATATTTTAATACGACCAAATAAATAATTAAATAATTTTATATAAAATAATTGATTAAGAGAATATTCGGTGATTTTAAATTGAGAGAAAATAATTAGGATTTGATTGAAATAAAGTAACATATATTGATCTTGATACATGAAAAACGGTTTTAAAAGATATGTTAGGGGTCTGATTTTGATTATCTTAGATGTATAATAAAATTAAGCTTGGGATTTAAAACACATTTATCATTTTCGTTTCAAATATTTTAAATATCACTTACTTTACTCTACAAAAGTAGATGTTGATAATAAAAGTTAGTTTTGGTATAGATATATGCAGAATTTTCACGTAATTAAATAATTAATTATTAATATTTTAAGAGATGATAAATAAATAGTGTATTTGATTTTCTTCTAATACAAGCAAAATTATTTATAATAAAGGTTAATTTTGATATTAATTATGTAAAATCTTCCCAAAATTAATAAATTAAATTTTAACACTTCAAGAACATAATTTATTTTTTTATGAGTTTTTTTTAAATATATAATGTTTTATAGATAAAATATGTTTGTGAACATATTATTTGTAGAGTTAGTGTTTTTATGAGATTGTAAATGAAGACTTTTTTATTAAAATAATATTATTATATTATATATATACACGTAATATAATTTATGATGAAATTATTTATTTAACTGAATCTCTCGTAAAATTATTTATTTAATTGAACCTCTTTTCTTGTTGTACTTGGAATTAGATTTCTCGTAAACCGAATTCCAACTATAAACTTACCATTTTTTTAAAATAAAAAAATTAAATAAGATATATAATTAAAAATAATAAAATTAATATTAAAAATAAAATTTTAATTTTAAAATTTAAATAATATTTATATAAAAATAATAAAAATAATAAATTATTTAAATATATATTAAATTATTTAAATATATTTAAATAATTATTAAATATATATAAATAATAATTTTTTATTATATATTTTTATATATTTTTTTTATTTTTGAATAGGAAATTTAAAATTTATATATTTTTTTATTATATGAATTATTTAAGTTATAATTTTAGAAAAAAATAGAATAAATAAAAATTTAATTTAGGTAATATATTAAAAAATTAAATATTATATTATAAAAATTTATGTAATAGTTTTTATTTGATAAATTATAAATATTATATTAAAAAATTCATGCTAATTTTTTTTTAAATAATAAAGTAAAAATATTATTTAATTAGTTAAAAATTATTATTATTAATATAAAATAAACTTAAAAATAAAAAATAATAAAAATTGACAGAATTTAATATATAATATTAAAAATAACATAATCATTGATAATAAAAATTGAAAAATAAAATTATTGACAATAATGTTAAGAAAATTTTAATCTCAAAAGTGGTGTCTAATTCTACAACAATGACGACGTCTATTACGTTTTGGATTTCGTCGATGTGGTTGATCTTGAATTTCGGGAGAAATTTGTGGAGGGTTTTCTTCTTCATAAACCTCTATTATTTTCACTCTATACAAATCTTTCTACCTTTATTATTTTTATTTAATATCATGTTCTATAATTTTTATTTTGCTACTAATAACTTATTTTTAATTTTACTTTTAATATTTTATATATTAAATTTATCAATTTTTTTCTAAAATTATAACTTAAATAATTCATATAATAAAAAAATATTCCTATTAAAAAATAAAAAAATATTATTTAATATTTTTAATAATTATTTAAATATATTTAAATAATTTAATATATATTAAATAATATATTATTTTTATATAAATATTATTTAAATTTTAAAATTAAAATTTTATTTTTAATATTAATTTTATTATTTTTAATTATATATTTTATTTAATTTTTTATTTTAAAAAAAGTGGTAAGTTTAAAGTTGGAATTCGGTTTACGAGAAACTAAATTCCAAGTACAACATTAAAAGAGGTTCGATTAAGTAAATAATTTAATGAGAGACTCAGTTAAATAAATAATTTCATCACAGGTTCTGTTATGTATATATATATAATATAATAATATTATTTTAGTTAAAAAGTGTAAATGAATTATATAATAGGTGAACTGGAACTTGTAGAAATTAATAATACGATAAATAATTTATTATTTTTATTTCTTTAATAATAAAATGTAATAAATTTAATTTAAAAAATTATTAAGTCCAATTATAATAAAAAAAAGTAATAAATAAAAAAATCTATAAAAAAGATTAAAGACTATATAGAAAGAATTAAAAATTAGTTCACAAGACGTGGTAGTATTAAAGTGTTATAAAACAAAAAGGTTTGAAATTCTTTTGATAAGATACTACCTTTATTTTTTTTCCTTAGTATTTAAATTTATACTAGATAATTGAATTTTTTTTATACTCAATTTATAAAGTATGGTTTTATTTTATGTTAATATGCAAAATATATATGTGATATTAAATTTTATGGTGGAAAACAAAAATCTTCCCATAATTTTCAGATCAAATTATAGGAAGTAAACTTTTTAAAAATAAAAAATAAAAAGAATATTATTTTTTAATAAAATGAGAAAAAATTTTAAATTCTCACATTTCTATTATAAAAAAGGAAGAAACTGATATTTATTATAAATTAAATAAATAAATTATTATCAATAATTTTTAGTGGAAAGAAAAAAATGACAAGAATATTATTGAAAAAAAATTAAAAAAGTTAATATTTTTATTGATTTGTTTAACCTCGTATATTGAAAAAAAGAATATATTATAAATAAAATAAATTTTTATATCGTCATGTGAATACTCGTATTATTTTCCATCAATTTTTTTTTAGTTAGGTCATACATTAGAGTCTCCATATATTTATTTGATATTTGATTAATAATTTATTTGTTATTTTAGATTTTAAAAAAAATTTACGATTATATTTGTATTTTGACTTATGTGATATTATATCCAAGGTTATAAGGAGAAAGTAATTTTAAATATGATATATTTGTTTTATATTTTAATTAGAACACGTTTCATTTATATATTATATAAAAATAATTATAAAAGGTATATTATTAACACAATTTAAAATTTTGCTAATATTTTGATATTTGAAAAAGAAAGTAAGAAAAAGTAAAAGGCATAGGCGGGGTAGAATTGGAATAATGTAAATGAAGATATTGAAAGGAGAAAAGGAATAAAGGGGATGCGCCATCATCCATGTATAGATAAGATTGATTATAGTCATTGCTTTCAACACCCACCACCATTCTATCACTCTCACACGTTTTCACAATTTTTATTTTTTTTTAACCATGATATCACTTTTACATGTTATTTTCACTTTGCAAATTTAACTACTTTTAATTAAAATGGTGTAATTTGAAATAACATGAAGTAAAAGAAAATCAAAATTATGTTATATTCATGAAAAGGGAATGAAGTAAAAAAGTCGTCTTCTTTCCTTTTTGACAAATATCTTGCTTGGCCTTTCATCCATGAAGAAACTAAACCCAACAAGCAATCAACAAATCAAAAGATGCTTCAACTCTTACCAGGTTAGCTATGTAACATAATTATGTACGCATCCTAACCTATTTTACTTTGTGTATCTCATAATTATGACAAAATCAATGAGAATTTATGAAATTGATGTTATTAAAAATTAAATATTGTCAAAAATTTAAAGTCCCAATAAATTTTTTATTAGAACAAGAACATATTCCAATGTTTAAATATGAACACCCGAATCTAGAGGTATACAAGATCTTATGACTTTCTCTCTATAAAGATTATTTATTTACTTTGTTTTTCGCATAAAGCAATTAAAAGAGCCAATAGGTAAAGAACACAACACAAGGAATGCCTTTGGTTGTGTCTTTATTAAAGAATGCTCTAAATTGAAACCCTAATTAATTATTTGAACCACATTGCACAGATAAACTCTTCTGAGAGGTAATCTAACAATTGCGTTGCTTGATGAGTTAACCTAATCAACCTTGGCCTGCACTCAAAGAACAAGGGGCATCAAACTTAATAATATCCAACCCCTTTTTCTCCCAACATCTAAATTCCAATTTCTCTTCTCCAACGATGTCTCTTCAAGATCAGCCACAACAACCAGTCCAAGTTTACCCAACAAATCAGCCACCTTCATCTCACCACTCAAATGGGTCTTTTGGGGCAGTTTTCATTGTCCTTGCCATAATACTCGTCATTTCTGTACTTGCTTGCTTTCTTGGGCGCCTTTGCAACAAACGCTACAATAGACACAGTAGCAGCCAGAGACCCCCTAAGCAGCATAGGCCACAGATCCATAATTTGCATCCAAGAGATGAAGGGGACATTGAATTTGGGGTTGACAAAAGAATGCCACCACCAATTATAAGGACCAAAGGGCAAGGTCATGGTCATGGTCACGGTCACGGTCCTCATAGTCATGGAGCAGGCACAGGACCCCACCTACATGTTAATGACAACATGAGAGAATTTGAAATCAGACCTGGCCATGGAGAAGAGCTTAGAGCAGGTGCATGATATGGAACTCCAAGACATCATCACTTTATGTATACTTACCAATCGTTCTGTGTCTCTTTTTATCTTCTGTGCTTTTCTGTCTTAGAATTCCCGCTCTACGTTGTACTGTAAATGTAAATTATTATGCTCTCTTCCTTTTTACCCTTCAAACTATTTTTACAAGTGCCAAGTGTGTAATATTATCCATTTTTTCTATATGATCTCAGTGAAATATGGGTTATGCGTATTTATTAACACTATATAAAATAACTTGTCATATAGAGTCTAAGAAATTGCCTTGGACTAGTAATTGTTGTAGCTGTTTTATATCCCAAGGGGCCGTGTTAACCTTTATCAAGTAATTTGTCAGTGTTTATTGGAATTGCAATTTCATCTGTTATTGCAAGTAGAATTTCATATATTGCTTTTTTTTTCTATTTAAATTAAAAATAAATAAATTATAATTTAAATAATTATAACCTTTTATCTTGTATTTAAGTATTTAATAATATTATAATATAAACCATGAACCTTTACAAATTGTAAAAATAGTAATTGTAAAGATAGTAATTAATTTATCAACTAAAACTTAGAAAATGGTTACATAATTAAATGTAATATTTTTTTAAAATATATTTACATATAGGTTTTGCGGATTTGATTTATGCGCCAATGGCAGGATAAACGAAAACAAGACAAATTGTTTTGCCTTTTTCCTGGCAAACGTGAACTAGTACAAAATTTAAAACTATAAATAGATATTTTAATAAATAAATGTAATAATTTTTCCAATTTATCTCATAATAATAATAATAATTAATGAATAAAACTTTAAAAATAATATAATTAAATTGCACTTAATATATATATATATATATATATATATATATATATATATATATATATATATATTTTTATATAAAAAATATTTACAAACTGACTTTGCTAGTCTACTTACTATAACTACGTTTCACTCTGTGTTTTTTATATATTAGAGGCAATATTAATCAAACCTAAATAATTAAATCTATTTTGTCACTCCTAATTATTAATGTAATCGTTTTTTTTTACGTTTATAGATATTAAAAAATAGTGATTATTTTGGGTCCCTAATAAAATTATAATAAAATTGGACGCCTTTTTCTTTCTAATTAAAAGTATAATAAAAGCTATATGCTAGAATCACAAAATTGTGTTTGTAATAGAAAGAAAAAAGGTTCTCAAATTATTACAACAACCTAATTACAAAATAAATTATCATAGGCTACGTTTTATTTATAAAATATTTACCTACAATACTTTCTTCAAAAGAAAGGGAAAAATTTGTTTCTCACAATAACCAAATCATAATTTCTACATAAAGTATATATTAAGATATAATAAACAAAATTTAATAAAATTATTGTTCAGGGATTGGAAACTCTTTATTTGTTTTAAAGAGTAAAAAATATTCCCAACAATAATAATAAGTGTTTGATGTATACACCAAGTTCTGAACATTGATAGTTTATATTGAAAAAAAAGTTTTATGATAAGTAGATAAAGCATCTAAGATTATTATGAAAAAGCTAGAATTAGACATCAAAATGGGTTAAGGTTCTTGCTAAATTTATTCACGTTTGTGAATAATCCGATCAAGTTTTTCTTGTAAGGCAAGAATGATTTTCGTTTAGTAGTTTCTGTGTTCTTTTTATTCATCACGTAGAGCTTCTCGTGAGGTGACAAAGTTGTTTTGCATTTTCCACATCTTTCTTTCTTTGAAATGCCACTATCTTTTTTCATCATATTGGACTGTGAAGGATTGAAGAAAACAAATGCATCCTTGTCATCGCTATTGCTTCGAAGCTTTAAGCTTTCCTTAAATCTCCATATCTTTGAGAAACTTGCGGATTTGCTTTTCTTGGATTTCTTGTTTGAAGCCTCAACTTCAACTACGGTCTCGTTGCATGATCCTTTCAATACACCACCTTTTGATTGTGAGGAAAATTCGTTGAGTTGTTGAACAAAAAAGAGCTTCTTTAATGGTGGTTGAAGAGAGAAGGTGTTGTTGTGGTGTGCGATGGGAGAAAAAAGATATTGGTCAAAAGAAATGATTGTTGTTCGCATCTTGCCATTGTGAAAGATCTCATCAGCAAATTTAACTATTTTTTGGTCATCAAAGGGAGCAAAACTAAACTCTTGTTCTTCTTCCACATTTTCTTCATTCTCAAATTCAATTTCATTTTTGCCAATTAAATATTGGTCGAGTCTGGGGTTGTCAGACTTTTGAAATGAACAAGGCATTTGGAGACGCATTTTCAATATCTCAACGTTTGATGTTTTCGATTGCATGTTGATTTAGATTTTAATTAGAGCACGTGAATGTTTTATGAGGCGAAGTGAATAGTAAAAGTTATATAATGAAATAAAAAATGAAAGTTATTTATACCAATAATACAATGAGAGTTTATTTTTTGCTGTTAAAATGACATTTGTAATTTGTTTGTAAGTTTTAAGGAGATGGTTAAAGAGAAAGGTAAGAGGAACCATCCTAACTATTGGTGAGATATTATATTAGTTGGGTGGTATTGTTTTTATAATTTATTTTGTTTTGTAACAATAGATTATGTTATCTTGTAAACTATTTTTCTGTTCTTCTGCTCATTTACATTTTGCATAAGTTGCTCATGTTAGTAACATACACTCACATTACAATAACAAACTAACCAAAACTAAATATCCTTTATTAACTTCCTTGTTGCTTTTCACAATGGATGCAAATTAGAGTTTTGCTCAATTATAATTTTGCATGTTATATTTTAAAACTTTAATTAGACAAACCTAGGTTGGACAAACAATAACTACTAAGTTTATAAAAAAAAGTTATAGTTTACAAATCATGGTTTCAATAATATGAAATCATATATATATATATATATATATATATATATATATATATATATATATATATATATATATATAAAAGGTAAAATTAACTTTATTAATAAAATTGTAAATACAAGAAAAATTAACTATTTGTAACTACATTAGTTATCAACAAAATCTTAATAATCTTATAATGTATGAAGAGAATGATCTTTCTTAGTTAAAATGTTAAGTTAGTAGAAAAGTAGAATAAAAGAGTGTGTGTAATATGATTTGTTTGATTATTTTTATTTTTATTTATGTTAGACGAATTTTTCTTGTTTTATGTATAAATTTTAATATTATAATTCAAAATATTAATGAAGTTTTTTTAACTTTCAAGTTCTTTCTATAGATTTTTTTTCTTTTGTTGAGATTTTTTTTTACCTTTTTTAAGTTCTCCATAATGTATATTTTTTCTAATATGTGTTATCTCGCTTACTCCTCTAATAATTTTAACATGACGATCTTCTCCTCCTGGTTATTATAAATTTTCACATCATATTTTCATATTATTAGTTTGTTATTTTTATAAGAAAAAAGAGTTAGAACTTGCACAACGTTATGAACTTCATATATGAGTGACAATTCTTAGAAAAAATTATTAATGATTTAGGGTATAACACTTTGTCATTCTTCTAATTGGGCCATAATACACCATAATTCTTATAAGAGGAACTTATTTGCGCTAAGTTTAAGTTGATTAACCTAAAAGCTACTTTCTCACCGAAGATGAAAATCACATGTGTACCTTAAAGATTTAACTTTTAATCAACTTCAACATGCACAATTATGAAAAGATGACTTTCATGGGTTTTGACACCTTCCACCTTCTTGACAATTAGGTCAAATTTTCATCAATGACATTTATTATCGCACATCCATGACCTGGAAGTAGACTATTAGGAACATTTGGATCTTCTTCTTCAAAGCTCAATAATCCTTCATATATTAAGTCTTATACTTTATGTTTCAAACTCCAACATATTTCTGTTGAATGTTTGATACTATCGGCGTGATAATCACATTTGACATTTGGATCATAACTTTTTTAATACAATGATTCAATAAGTTTCAAAAGGAAAGGAACAATTAGGGAATTGCTGACCAAATGTGGGAGAAATTCATTGTAAGTTAGAAGGATGTAAACAATTGTTTTTTGCCAATTATTTCCTTTGTTTTGGGTGTTACTTGCATTCTGGTAAGGGGAGCCTACTTAGCTTGTTTAAGGGATTGATGGTGGTGGGACTCATGGTAGAGATGACCAATAGATATCCTAGGTTGAAAATGTTGTTGATGGTGATTGAGAAATTGTTGCTACTTGTGGGTTGTACATGATATATGGTCAATAAGTTGGCATGAAAGGGATGGTATTATAATTATGTTTGATTGATGTGGGCATGATAATATTGGTTTCACCCCTCTTTTTTCCTATCAATAGGAGCGAACAATTTCTTCACACTTGTTGATCTAATTATCGTGTGAGCAATTTTTCCATTCTTTACTCCTATTTCAACCCATTTTTTCAATGATAATTAAGTTAAAGAAATTTGATGAAATGTTTTCCAATCATTCTGATATAGAACATATAAAGAAACATTGTGATAATTTTCTTTTCAGATAAAGGAGGTTGTACTTAAGCAACCATCAATCTCCAACGTTATGTATATTCTTTAAATATTTCTCCTTTTTTCTTCACCATATTTACAATTAAATAATTTCGGGAGTCATTATCCATATTATACTTGTACTGCTTAAAAGAAATTTCTGCCAAGTCCTTCCATGTATGTATCTATCCTTGCTCTCAATTCATGCGCCATCTTAGGATGACTCTCATAAAACATTCATGAAAGAAATGAATCAAAAGTTTGTCATTATATACATATGAAGTCATTTTTTTATAATATACTATGAGATGACTCTTTGGATAAGTGCTTCCTCTATACTTATCAAACTCGGGAATTTTGAATTTGGGTAGAACTACAACATTTGGAACTAAACACAAATCAACAACATCAAATCCATAATAATCAAACACTTCAATTGTCCCCAATCTTTCTTCAAGGACTTGTAGATTATCCTTGGATTAATTGTCTCTGAGCTGTTTGGGGTGTATCATAATGGTTGGTGTTGGATTGGAGTTCTGGTGATTTGAAAACTCTTCAAGATAAGGTACATGAATAAAGGGTTGTTGTAGAGTTTGTATGTCATTAGTGTCGAGATTATGACCTTGTATTTTTGGTTTGATAATTTCGATGCTAAATAATTGTTAACTGCAGGATGTGTGACTGACAAGAGGATCATAAGAAGATTTGAAGGCGAAAGTATAATTATTAATTTTTGGAATATTGGTGACCAAGGGTAGTGTATAACCAGGTGGGAGGCCATAGAAAGGGAATGGTATATTGATATTTGCTTAAGTTGATGGAGTAAATTTGGGAAGGTTCAAATGAGTGTTTTGAGGTATTTTTGAAGAATTTCCATTAGCCTATTTCACTGATCGCAACATCTCCAAGATCTAGTTCATTTGTTACTACATTTGATTATTTCAAGACGGAAGTATAATTATTAATTTTTGGAACATTGGTGTCAAAAGTGGTGTATAACCAAGTGAGACGTCATATGAAGGGAATGATATATTGATATTGGCTTAAGCTGGTGGAGTAAATTCAAGAGGGTGAGAATGAGTATTTTAAGATATTTTCCAAGAATTTCTATTAGCCTATTTTAGTGATTGCTACATCCTCAAGATGTGATTCATTTGTTATTACATTTGATTAACCTCTCTTTTAAGTTATTCATGTTGTTGTTCTAGGTTATTTATCACTTTCTCCATGATCTTGGTTTTAACACATGTCCTATAAAAGTGTTGTTGAGAATGACTAATTTAAGACTACTTTCTAATCAGAAGAATGATAAAAGAACATAGTCATCTTTATTTGATCCAGAAGACATTTTTTTTTTAATGGATTCTAATTGCTATTTTGAATTTGTATGATAGGTATATCTAGATATTCTAGTGGTAGTAGGGTTGGCTGAAAGGCAATACTTGGACGTTGAAATCATGGGGGCCTAAGAAAATAAAATATTTATGTGGCTTTTTTGACACCACAAATGGGGTACATTACTGTGAAAGATATAAGCATTTTTTTAAGATTTTAGTGATGCTCTTTGTACGAGCATTGGCAATTGCTAGGAGGTTATAATTTGCTCATATTTGGGAGAGTGAATTGGGTACAATTGAAGTTACAAAATATAATCAATATATTGGAATCATAATTTTTTTTAATCAAATAATTTTTTCTCTCCAACTATATTTGTGATTTAACTATTAAAAAAAATAAATTATCATATATGTTTTATATGATAGTAAAATATATCCATTCATCTATTTGAACTCGTATATTTAAAGAAGTTGATTTATATATCATAATCAAGATTAAAAACCCACTAAGATAAATTAAAAATCCACCATCTTATCACAACACAATTTCACGGATTAACGGACCAATTTGTTAATATTTTTTTAATATACCTTTAATTATATAAATAATTTTTAAAATTTTATTCATTAGTTAATATTTTTATTAGTTAAATTAAAAAAATTATTGTATTTATATATTAAAATACTTAATTTGAATAAATAATTTAAATATAATTAATTAATATTTCTATTTTAAATTATAATATTATAATATATTTACATATTTTAATATTATAAAAAAATTTCATATTTTAATTATAATTTTTATTTATTTTAATTTTAATATAAATACTTTTTAAAAAGGGATTATCAAAACAACCCATCTCACATCACTCTTAACTTATTAGGTTCACGAGTTAAACAAAATAAATTAAATCAACTAAACCTATCAATCCGTAATGTTAATTTAAAAAAAAAACTAACAATCCGATCTTACTTTGTTTTCCGGATACTACGTACAGAATTTCCCCACAATACTTTGTTCAACAGTTTAAAAGAAAGGAAAAAAAAATTGTTTCATATAATAGATGAACTGGGCTAATATATATATATATATATATATATATATATATATATATATATATATATATATATATATATATATATATATATATATATATATAACATAAAAAAACTTTTATTTATTTTAAAGAGTAAAAAATATTCCCAATATATACATCAAATCTTTACATCAATTATTTATCTTCAAATGTTGGTTTTATCGTAATTGAGAGATAAAATAACCTAAGAATACTCTGCAATGTGAGAAGTAGGATATCAAAAAGGGTTAACGTTCCTACTAAACCCATTAACATTTGTGAAGAATCCAATCAAGTTTTTTCTGTAAGGCAAGAATGATCTTCGCCTTGAAGTTTCTGTCTTCCTTTTATTCATCACGTAATGCTTCTCGTGAGGTGACTGAGTTATTTTGCATTTCCCAGATTTTCCTTTCTTTGCCTCATTGGACGTTAATGACACTGACCCTGAAGGATTGAAGAGAACAAATGCGTCCTCACCATCACTATTTCTTCTCAACTTTATGTTTTCTCGAAATCTCCATATCTTTGAGAAACTTGTGGATTTGCTTTTCTTGTGTTTTTTGTTTGAATCTTCAACTTCAACCACAGTGTCTTTCTGGAAAGTCTCTTTGCACGATCCTTTCAATATATCTTTTGATTGAAAGGAAAATTTGTTGAGTTGTTGAACAACAAAGAGCTTCTTTAACGGTGATTGAAGAGAGAAGGTGTTGCTGTGTGCAATGACAGGAGAAACAAGATATTGGTCAAAAGTAGTCGATGTTGTTCGTATCTTGCCATTTTCAAACATCTCATCAGCAAATGTAAGTGTTTTCTGATCATCAAAGGGAACAAAACTGAACTCTTGTTCTTCTTCGACATTTTCTTCATTCTCAAATTTGATTTGATTTTCACTAGTTGAAGAGGGATGAAGAAGTTGTGGCATTGGAGCAAAGTTGTTAGAATTTTGAAATGAATGAGGCATTTGGAGAATAGACAGAGCTTGCATGTTGATTTAGGTTCTAATTAGAGTATGTGAATGTCCTATGAGATGAAATGAAAAATTGAAGTTATATAATGAAGTGAGAAATGAAAGTTATTTATACAAATGATACAATCTGAGCTTATTTTTTATTGTTAAAATGTCACTGTAATTTGTTTATAAGTTTGGAGGGGATGGATAGAGGGGAAAGGTGAGGTAGCCATTGTAACTACTAGTGGGATATCCTTTGTATTAGTTGGGTAGTAAGTTTTGATAATTTTGGTTTGTTTATATGACAATAATATTATGGTTTCTTTTAAACAATTTTCTAGTATTTTTTAAATTTTGCACATTAGTAACCTACACTTACATGTTACATTAACAACCTAACCAAAAGCATAACATGCTATGCTTTTTTATCTTCTTTGTTTCTTTTAAGGGATTATACTAATTTTTTTTTATTTTTTTTAAGTTGGGTCCTTCCACCCCGACTTCTCTTTGTTCTCAATGATTTTTTTAATTATTTTAAAATTACTTTTAATTATATATATATGTTTTCCAAATTAAAGGTTAATAATCAATTAAAAATAATTTAAAATATTCATTTAAATAATTTGTTAAAAATAATTTAAAATATTCATTTAAATAATTTGTTAAAAATAATTAATTTATGAAGTTAATTATATAAAATTTGTTATAAACCTAAATAATTTTTAACATAATATTTAGAAATTTCATAAATTAAATTTAAATAAATTATTTAATTATATATTAAATACAACCTTTTTAAATTATTTTAAATTAATTGACTAAAAACGTAAACTTAATTATAAAAAATTAATTTTAAATAAAACAATTTAAATATAAATTTAGAATATTAATGTTAAGTATATAATTTAAAAGCAATTTGAGATTAAAACGTGAAACAATGAAAAATGACATTGAAAACACAAAATATAGTACTATAAAATGGTATTGAGAATGTCAAAATTAATAATAAAATACACTTGAATGGAAAATAATACAAAGAAATTAAAGCGATTAGTTAGGGGAAAAATATCACTTTTCTCTTTTCTTTCTCTTAATAATTAGTATATCATAAACTATTTCCTTATACATTGTTTGAACAAATAATTTAATCTTTTCTATCCATTTTCAGTGAAGCAAACTAGTTTAAAATATTTTTCCTTAAACTAAGAATAGATCAACATTTTTTTTATTTAAATTGATTTTTTGCATAAGCTTATAATTAACAAGTGAATGTATTGATGGTATTCTCGTTTTATGACCTCTTTGTGGTCTCCACAATCCAACATGTGTAGCAGGTATCAGAGAATGTGATGTTGATTCAAGTATCTCGAATACAGTTTATTTAGTATATTCCATCCTATCATATCATAAACAAAGTTTAAATAAAATTCTGGTACAACCACCATGTTCTATCAACGTGGAGTACAAGCATGTAAAGAATGGAAAGTATGCAAAATATTTGGACTAGCATAAAACTAACACCCTTTATTGAATTCGAAGAGATTATTATCTAGTCTGTATCATTCTCAAAACAATAGCTCACGTAAAATTATGTGATCTTAAGGATTGAAATACATATAAAACAAGTTGTTCCTAAAAATTAGGAATTATGAAACATGAACAAAAATTACTCTAAGCAAAATATATAAAAAAAAAAAAATCTTTTTCATTTCTTCCCTTAATATAGCTTTAGTATATAGTTAATTTAATTCGGTAAGATCAAGCACTTTCATATTTTTATTAAGCATCAAGTTTTAATGTTTTAGTTTTCGGTTAGGTAACGTATCAACTCAATTTCTTTCTTTTGTAATATTTCTTTGTTTTATCTAAGAATGAGAGTATTCGACCTCATATCCACTTGTTACGGTAATTTTTCATGTTCGAAATATTATCTGTTTGGAGCTTTCGTCCATCATATGTTCTTAAAAAACGTCTCAATAGATTAAAAGAGAATAATATATATAAACTATCATTGGTCTCGACTCCTAACGATGTTGGATGAGCGTACCAGAACATAGTCCACAGTCGAGGACTAAGGGGTATGAGTAGAACCAAACTTGACTCTCAGCCACGCGGTGAACGCCAATTATATTTTTGTAAGATCGAACACTAACATTCCCTTTTGATCTTCCAGTATGTGAACTCCTCGACGTGGTCAATCGAACACCTTCGGTGAGCGAATCTTGACTTTGGTCAATTGGGATACCTACAAAGACACTTCGATGCTCAAATCAACAATGTGATTGTGTATTTTATAGGATTTTATGAGAACAAAATAGCATTACCTTATTCTTTAAGGTTGTTGATGTTTATATGACCATAATTGGATGCCATGATATGAGGATCCTCAAGGCGAGACTATAATGGGAGATGTTATGGTACATATGCCCCCAAAGTTCGAGCCAAAACAAGAACAACACAATATATTCTCCAAGCATGCGGTTTTTGATGTTGAGATGAAGAACTTTAGACCTTGTCCGAGATGTACTAGACGAGGGAGACTAGACGCATGTTGCCCAATATGAATGATGTATGGTCGGGATGTGCTCGGTTATTGATTGACGCGATGAGCTGTTAGGAAAAAGAAAAATGAGTGGAAAAATTTCTTTTTGAATTTTTCCGCTGGGGAGGAACTTTGTTAGATCTGGACCGTTGACCTAGGTGAGATCTGATGGCTATGATGAAAGATGTCTTGGTTCTCACACTCATGCTTATATAAGGGAATAACGGTGTCCATTTCTTTCGTTTTGTTGTTTTGTGATCTTTTGCTCCGACAAGTGCTCTGCTTGGGAGATGCTATGGTACACTCTTAAAAAAAATAAAAAATGCACTCTAATATGATTGTTCATGCCATGCATTATTGATTTTTTTTTTTTTAAGTTTAATCATTGAACTATTATCATACATGATAACAATGTTACCATTTTAAGCAGAAGTTAAGATTCTCAACACTCTACTTATCCATGTAACCACTACTACAGAAAATATTTTCAACGTCGGTTCCATTTAACCGACATCGAAAGTTTGATTTTAACTTTCAACGTCGGTTCTATATGAACCTAGAAGTCCCCCCCTCTCTTCCCCCTTTCTTTTATATTATATTTTTATTAGGTCCCACCTCTCTTTTATATTATATTTTTATTATTTAACCGACGTCGAACTTAAGTGAATTTTTGGTTGAAAAAAAAACACTTTGCGGAAAATATATACAAATAAATATATATTTACACGAGATATATATTTATTTATATATAAATATAATTTATTTGTAAGTTATTATCAGAATTATAGTAGTTTAGTGGTTAGAGTATCGACTTTCAACTTCGAGTGAATTTTTTAGTGAAAACACTTTCCACGTCGGTTCTTCCGGAAACCGACGTTGAATGTGTCAATAAAAAGACTTTCCACGTCGGTTCATCTGGAACTGACGTGGAAAGTACTTTCTACGTTGGTTGACTAAAAACCGACGTAAAATATGTTTAATATTCAACTTTCAACGTCGTTTTTTAACCAACTCACTTTGAAAGTGTATTCAACGTCGGCTCAGCTTTAACCGACGTTAAATGACGACATGGAAAACATATTTTGTAATAGTGAGCTTAACACACAATTACAACATAAACAACAAATTTTATGTACTTGAGAGAGTGACAATTAATTGCTTCTTGAACATCCATGACATTGCTTTTGAACTTAATAAAAACACACAAGCAGATGCACTTTTAGAGTTGAAATCTTCCTCATCTTGTAGAATATCCCATAGTTAATAGTTCCTTTTAAATACATTAATATTCTTTTAGTAGCTTGTAAGTGTAACTTTTTTTTTTATTTTGACATATACCGATTAATTAAACTCACACTAAACATGATATTTGGGCTTGTAGTTGTGAGATACATTAAACTTCTTAAATTTTGCTTGAAGTAAGTGCCATCCATGGTTACACCATCAACATCTCTATTAATCTTAATACTTCGAACAATTTGACTCTTCACAGGTGTACTAGTAGACATTGCAAATTTCTTCAAAATATTATTAGCATATTTCCTTTACCTCACAAAAATTCCTTCTAATTTTAATGCCAAGAAAGAATTTCATCTTCCCTAGGTTAGTCGTATTAAAGGCTTGCTTCATAGACTTCTTGAATTCAATAATCATACCCATGTCATTACCAATATAAATAAAATCATCAACTTAGATTTTAACAATTAATATGTTTCCTCCAATGCTTCTTTTGATGAACATGCTTCTTTTGATGAACATGGTTTGTTCACTTAAACATTTTTGAAAATTATCTTTCATGCAATGTGATTCTATATGGTTGAACCATACTCTTGATGTTTGCCGTTGACCATACAAGACTTTATGTAACTTGTAAACCTTATGCTCTTTTCCTTTCTTGACACATTCTTTTGGTTGTTCAATATACATGTCTTCCCTCAATTCTCAATGTGGGAATGAAAATTTAACATACATCAGAAAGATGTCCCATCCTTTGGAATTACAAGTGCCATGATCAACCTTTTTGTGTCCATGTGTGCAATAGGACCAAAGGCTTCAAAAGAATTGATTCCATGCGGTTAAGATACCCTTAGCCACCAATCTTGCTTTATACTTATCAACTTTTCCAACTTATTTAATTTCTTCTTGAAAATTCATTTACCTTCAATTGTTTTTGCTCTAGTTGGTAGGTCCATAAGTTCCCAAGTTTGATTCTTTTCAATTGAGTTTGTTTTACTATCCATAGTCTTTTTCCATTTCTCATGTTTATCAGCTTCCTCAAACAAAATTGGATTGTTGCCTATAACATATTGTACCATGTAGGCCACTACTTCTTCTCTTAACCTTTCTCCACTCACAAATTCTCTCATCCATGTCGGTTTCCTTCTTTCTCTTCCTTGAATCATGTGTTTCTGTGAACTTTCTACTTCATTCCCAGCTCCACTACCCCTTACATTATCCCTATCATTCTCACCATCACTATTGAACCCCATGTCTT